AAAATGACCTTCATGGCTTTCCACATTCGGCCCAGTAGACAGTCCATTTCTAGACCCTTCATCCTCTCGTGTCATAGCTGGTGGCGGAGCATCTCAACCTCGAGAGCAGTGAATGGTGGAACTGAAGTCAAGGCACTAGCATAAGAGCGTCTCAATCTCCTCCAGACGGCCTCCATGTCCTCCTCCACACGAGCACCTGGTAGTGGGGGTTAGAAGAGTGTCGACGCCCTCATCATCTTCCCCTCCTTCGTCGTTCACCTCAGCAGTTGCTTGACTGTTATTGACCTTGTCTGTCTTCCTCCTCTTACTCCCGGAGTTGGAAGCCTGCCTAATCAAAAGAGGGTGAAAAAGGGGATCCATTGAAAGTACTTCATCAGTGTCCAAGAGTGGCACCTTCACTCGCTTGCACATCGTTGTCACCAGTCTAGGCATGAAGAATGCCTTCTTGTTACCCCGGTAGGACATATTGCACTGATAAATAATATGTGTGCCCACGTTCAGCCCAATTCCATGCATAGCACAAACCACCACTAATGCCCGGGGAATGGTCACGTCGATGTGGTTGCCCGACGGGTGGATCCTCCTGGAAACCAAGTACAGCCACATCTTAGCATCCGGTGACCAGTGAATACTGGTTATGCCCTCAGTAGTAGCCCAATAAACCCAATCCCGGCCCACAGGCTCAACCAATTTATCATTTAGCCAGCCCAAATCCATCTCCCCCAGCTTGGCCTTGTACTCTGTGTTGGGGACCTTTGGCACCTCGAGCACCTCATCGATGAATGGAGTGTTCAGGGGGATGTCAACTCCTCGAATGCCGATGGTAGGGTGAGGGTCATTCCAGCGAATAGTAGGAACTGTGGCACAAAACTCTCTCACCCAGCTGGAGCATGCGGCAGGGGGAGCCTCTGTCAATGGAGCCCAACCAAACTCCATCAACCGGTCATGGAAGGCGGGCGCTTTCTCCGCTAATCCCAGCAAGTGAAAACCCCTCTCACAACAAAATTTGATGTTTCGGTGATCGTGGTGTCTCTCCCAACTTGCAGGATCGAGAAACCGGACGAAAGATAGATTTTCCTTGTTATTTCCAGCCATAGTAGACAAGCCTGCAGAATTTATGAAAGGTACACGTTAGGATCCCATGGGGTTAATCAATCCTGGCTAAGGAATAAAATTCTGATTGGAGTGGCAAGAGGCCACTGCCCCACTAAATCTCGCCACAGTGGGATTGAGGTCGCCATAGCAGCTTTCATCTGGAATGAACTTCAAACGCGATCATGGCACCCCTTCACCCCAAATACCTCGTTTTTATCAAATTTTCAGCAGATCAGAGTCTATAAAGTACCCTAGTACCTAAATATGCAGCTATTATAGCAAAATAACCCTTAAATGATGTCTGAATCTAAGTTTTACACCAAGAAACTATTCAACTTCCCCTCACCCATTTCAGAACCGTTTCGACCTCATTTTTATGAAATCACGCTCAGAATGTTGTGGAGACGTTGTGGTCGTAAGGGTAGTGTCCATGCTACATTTTTCTAACAAATCAAGCAACCTATTTTTGCATTTTTGAAAACAACCCCTAAGGCCTTTCTAATCAATTATTTAACGCCATGCAATCGTAGTTAAGTATGTATTGAAGTAAATAATGTGAGGAACATGAACCTTACCTTAAAATTGACATTTGGAGTGAAGCGAAGAGAGTTTTGGGAGGTTTTTGAGTTAGAGAAAGAGGAAATGGGGAAACCATTCCCCTTTCCCCCTTAAAATGCTTCCGATCTCCTGCTACAACGGGAGTGTCTCCGCCCCAGCGGCCCCGCCTCAGCGGGAACCCTGCCGCTCTGGCGGGGTAAGTTATACAATTGGGCGCGTCTGTTTTCTCCATGTGTTGCCTCATTTCTCTAGCCGGTCCCTTGAGTAAAGACCCCTTCGTGCTTAAAACATGGAAACTATAACCTTCGGGGTTCCGTAATGGGTTGATTCGTTAGTTAGAAGTTTTCCGAAAAGGGCTCGTGTTTATCCCTTCGCTAGTCGTTCGGGGACGAACAATAGGTAAATTGGTATCTACTGTAATGACCTGAACTGTTGTTATCTAGGAAAGGAAAAATGTCGGGAGAATTGGGCCCATCATGCCGCTAGAGAGGGATAGATGCAGCTAGGGCGACGACGCTCTAACAGGACAGGGAACGCTAGAGCGGGACGGTCGGGGATAGAACTTAAATGACACGAAGTCTTATTTTCTCCTTTTTCCCAAAACACCAAAAAAAGGCGAGGATCACTCCAAAATCCCTTAAAAGGATGCTCTAGACTTGGGAAGAAATGAGGAAGAGATTTCTAGCACAAGAATGACGATGGTTTGCGGATTCTCGGCCAAATCTACCACCTCGAGGTCCGTAAACCAGGATTAAAGCTATAATCCTGTGCAACTGCTTGGCGCCTAGGTAGGCTTGGTTTTATTAATTGAGTAGTCTTAAATCTGTGTTCACTGCGTAGTATATTGTTAATTGACGGTAGAAGTCATGCGTAGGCCTTTGTGCATCGAAAAAAAGGATGGTTGTACCTGTATTCCTAGTGGTTACACGAGATGTGTACCGTAGGGGGAATCCCCGTCCTGTGAACTAGGTGTATGTGATGGTTTGATTTCATGTTTGTATGATATATGCCGGTTAATTGCTTCGTTGTATGCATGCATGTATGAGAATAAAGAATGTAAATCAATCTAATGCAAATGAGTATATGTATATGAATAATTACATGCCATGAACCTAATACTTGATTATATGATGATGAGTAATGTTCATTATGGGTGTGATTGTTATTGTGGTTGTGCTAATTGAATTGGATCGGGTGTCATGTTTCAACACATATATTGGATTGCGTGTCACGTTCCGACACATACATTGGATCGAGTGTCACATTTCGACACACTAACAATTTTGGTGTGGGTTTCAGGAGAGAACCATTGGTGACTACTATGTTCATATCTACATATCATGGATGTTGGGAATTAGTATGATGCTTGAATCATGCATTATGTATATGTGTGTTAATATGTCGTGTACTTGTTATATATCTCATTACTGAATGAACTATGAATGGCCAGGCCCAATCGGGATGTGGTATGGTAAGTGGAGACTGAGGTTCCAAGTGTTACTATGTATTACTTAGAGGGGTTTGTCTATGTTCTTAAAAAGTATGAGAAGTGGGGAGGTGTTCGTGTCATAAATGTTGAGTAGCTAGGTCTTACCTTGAAAAGGGAATTCGTATTGAAACGATTAGTGAACCTTGATAGAATGTACTATGGAGTCAAGGGTCGAGTGGTGATGTGGATGAAGTAAAGGTATATCATGAGTGGTTGGCAGGGTGGGTAGTGGTTACATCCGGAAATTCTTCTAAGTAATAGAATAGTTAAGTTATGATCAAGAACGGAGCGAGCGAGGATTTAGAGTCAAGTGTACCAGTATATTTCAAAGTATTCGGGAATGGTATAGGCAAGAGGAGATAAAGGTGGAGGAATGAACAGTCTTATTGCAAGTGTCCTGCTAGTTGATTTCTTATATTATGCGGTGGGTATCGAGTTGACCGATGATGCCTACCAGTACGTGTGGTTTGTACTGATACTACTCTTGCTATGCCCTTTTGGCATAGTCTAATTGCAGGGTCGGTGATATTTCATAGGTGAAGACGAAGACACTCTCCAACAACTTCTATTTTTCCCTCCATGTGGTGGGAGTTGCATCATTTGTTATCGCGTTTATACCTTGTAATCTTAGAAGCTCTTGTACCTGTTTAGACTATATCTCTAGGATGTTGTTTATTTATGTTTTGCATTGGGTGTTTTAAAAACTCTTTATTTTATAAAAATTCCATGAAATTCCTTTACTTTTAGTTTTCTTAATCTTCCGCAGGTTTTAACCGTTTGGAAATCGAGGGTTCTCCTACTTAGGGTTAGAGTAGGTGCGTGCACGGCCCGGTGGGTTGGGTCGTGACATATTTCCACTATGTATGCTATTTTTTCCCCAAAATCTTGTATCCTTTCTTAAATTGTATTCATATGTAATGATTAAATTATATTGGAATACAATCAGTAATATTTTTGTAACAAAAAAAAGAAAAAAGAATATTTGGCAGTCATGTAATATAATTTTGATCACTCGGATACATTTTTTAGTTTTCACTATGAAAGTAAACAATTTTAATTTGAATGGTAAATTGAGCACATAAAATACAAAAGTTATTGATATACAATTATGATGTTTTAAAAAGGAAATATACACTTGTTGTCATTGAAATTGAGATTGAAATACAAAATGAGCACAATTAATAAATAATATCCATCTCAGACTCAATTCATATTGGAAGAAAAATGAAAACTAAAACCCTTACTCCCTTACCACATATATTTCAGTAATAATAGAATAGATAGTTGCAATTAAAAACTTTGAAAATCAACAATGCTAATTAGAGAATTTGACATATGATTTTAATAGGAACTTTTAAGCAAGCCCCAAACATTGAATATTAAGCGTGTTTAGGGCACATAATCGGATGTTTGAAGCGTAACTAAATCTCATAGAACATGTGAGTCTCAATATATTTTGCAAAGTGCTCCACTCCAAAGCTAATCCCATCCCAAAGGAAAAATTAGCAAACTAGTCAAAATTCTCAACATAATTATTAAAAACATCTACACTTTAAAATGATTATTAAAAAATGTCAATATGTCAGTATTTTAACAAATATAATGCATTCTAATATAATTTATTTTTCTTTCTTTTTTTTCTCAAATTTGGCCCACTTTTTGACCCCATTACCGGTGGGGAAAAAAGACCCCCTTACCCACTTTTCTCTTTCTAATTTTTTTACCCACGTTTTATCCTTTCTTTCTCGCACGTTTTCCAACACGTTCTCTCACACGATATTTTTCTTGAAAACTTTTTTTCTCTCTCATCTAATTCCCTCTTCCAATTGTTCTTCATTTTTTATCTCCCACTTCTCTCTCTTCCGTAGCTTCCGTTTTTTCACAAATCGAAAAAGATATCACTAAAGATATTGACAATAATCCCATTGATTAACATACACATCTTTATCCGATTTTTAGGTTTGTTTACTGATTTTGTTTTGTTTAAACCTTTCAAAAAATTTATTTGTTTAGTTGCTTAGTAAATTCACTAATTTCGATTAGGATTTTGGATAAGGAAAACCTCAAAGATCCTCTCTAATGGCCGACTCTAAGAGATTACAAGAGGTATCCCACTTATTCATTAATTTTCTAGTGATTTTCCATCTTTTGATCTATGTATTACTCAAGGACTATTGGATAATGTAGGCACGACGACTAAAATGGATGAAGAGAGAAGATCCAAGCATATACATGACCCTAACAGCATGCAAAACCTTCCTCAAGTATAGAATAGAACTACAGATCTGATTGACAAATCTGGTCGTCGGCCATTGCTATTAACCAGTGTCGGCGGAATGGTAGCATCGTTGGTGCTTCTTTCCACCAGCCTCACAATCATCGACCACTCAGAACACAAATGACAACACATTTTGTATTTTATTTTGCTTATTTTGTATTTCAATATCACATATTGTAACACATGAAACCTCCCGGCTAAGAATTGAACTATCTATATGTGTACGCAGATCCAAACCTGATGAAACTTAATTGTTCATATGTATTAAGATCAACTCTTTAGTGTCGGATTGCATTAGACATGAACTAAGGTTATACGAAACTCCTAGCACAAAGTTGAGTTGAAAGTCATGTCCTTACCGATTGAGTTTTGGTATAAGTTTTTACTAGGGTCAGATTCAAATAAGCACCCCTCCTAGAATATGTAGAGTTATGTGTTCCACGACCTATCAATTTGAAGATCTTTGAATATTCTTTCCCAACTTTATCAAGTGTTAGTTAATCTAAGTCCGAAGAAGAAAGTTATGGTCATTTTACTAAGTAGTATCAATGTTGAGGTACGTTTTCAATTATCAAAACTACAATATGCATATTCTCCTATTTTCCAACACCTTTCAACATCCTCATTTCGTAACTTTTATCTTCTGAACATAAGAGTTCTCAATTGATCAACACTCTGTCTTATACGACACAGTAAGCTGAAACACTACCCTATACTCTAGATGCGAGCCTCCACTTCACTCACTCTGCACCAATATGGTGTGTGACATCATCGTCAATCTCCTCATTTTCTTGGATAATAAATCCAACATACTTGAGACCGCCTCTCTTATCGATGACAAGTGTATCAAGCCTCACTATCACACCAACATCATATGCTATGTCACTAAACTTGCACTTTGTGTATTTTATTTTAGTCATACTGATCAACTTGAACCCTTTAGACCGCAGATTCAGTTCTTTGTCGTGAGTATCATTACATAACAAACCATAATGTTGCAATAGTTACTAATTGAGAACATCGTAAGAATAAATATCATGTGAACATCCTTATAAAAATAGCTAGACAATTGAAATTTACATCTTCACTTTTTTTTAATCTTCATGTCTTATAGTTTATTTCTGTCAAATCAAACTTAGATTACTTAGCTAAGTGAAATCAATTTTATATTTATGCATGAAAGAGTAATGTTTTAAATTATAATATCAATAATGTTTATAGCTTATTTACTTTTAGTGAGGTAATATGTGTTGTTTGATGACATTTTTTTAGAAATTGCGATTTTTTAATTGTTTAGAAGTAAAAATGATATAGTAAATTTGAACCTCTTGATAAATTTAACACTGTAACAACTTACAATGTTTATGCCTAAACAGATATGCTAGATACTTTATTTCTATCCGTAATTCTTTAATTTTCTTAAGCTTTTAAAGTATATTTTTTTAGATCTTTTTGTGTGTTATCATGTTATTTTTAAAAATATAAGTTATAAATTCATAGGGCTTATGCATTACGTCTCGAGACTTATATATCACGCTATACTTATTATAAGATATCACATTTCATGCTCTCGCTTCTTAAAACATTTTTTGCTTGGATGCATATATTTTAGGAATTTATAATATAAAAATCATAGTGTATATAAACTAGGAATAGAGAAATTATAATGAATGGAATATAACGTGTGGATTATTTATTACTATATATTTGATTTGTTGTGTAACATTATTATGTAGTGTACAATTTAAAATACTTATTCATTTCTTTAACAAAATAAAATAAAAATTACTTACTATTTGAAGGTCATTTATGTCATTCAATAATTTTAATTTGTGTATTATTAATACTTATATTCCACTTTATATCTTAAAGTAACTTACATGTGTATCACTAATAAGGGTTGTGGTGGAATAGTAAATAATCCTTCGTTTTTAATTAGAGGTCTCAGATTTGAGTTGTCTTTGTTAGGAAGCATTTTACCCCTCCCCCCCCCCCCCCCCCCCCCACCCCATGTCTCCAGCACT